CGGCTGGCAGGGTCGGTGGCCCGGGGTAAAGGGCGGGCATCTGCTCCCACCCGGCCGGAGTCGGACTCCACTTGTAGGGTCGCGACCTCAGTTTCTAAGCCAGCTGCTTTTCCTCTCGGCGTCCATCTGATGTGGCGACAGTGGGTTGCCAGCGTCCCGGAGCTGGTCGGCCTGAGTCCAGCTCGCCGGGAACTTGGAAGCAATCATGAATCAAAGTGCGTGGTCCATCTTTACTAAGAAAGAAGCCCATTCGTTGAGAACCCCAGAAGTACATGTCTCTTCAGTTAAGGAATACCCCTTAGTGTCACTGCTGAAGGCTGTTTAAAAGCTAGGCGAGGGTACAGTTACTGCTGGGCAGTACCGCTTATGGGAGTCCGAAGCTCAGCATTTGGTGCAGCAGAAGCCCGCCCAGTGAGAAGACGCAACTTTCTGAAAGTCTTGAGTTTTAAAGACTGTTATGAGCAAAATAAAACAGGTCTGTGGATTTGGTCTTGAACTACAGGCTGCAGGTCTGTGACCTCGACTCAAGCAAAATGTCCCTACTTGCAAATTAAGGAGCTAGGAGCATCTTCTGGGCAGTGTCAGGCTAGGTGTAGCTAGGAAAAAGGTTTCTGGAGGTGCCCTCAGTCGGTGAATTCCTTCTTTAGGAGTTATCGCATCTTCTCCAGGTTACGATCAGGCTCTTTTGGGACCTCGAGTGGGTTGAGCACTAATAATAATATGTTATGTAGCCGTGCAGTGTTTGCAGTGTTCTGCCAGGAAATACATGAACCGGCTCATACTCACCTGTTTTTCACCCTTTTGCCCTCCATGGGCTTGGACAGTGCCAGGGCTTAGGGAGTTCGGATATTACAGAAACCCGATCTTACAGAAATGTTTATTTTTGCTGAATACAAAGAGAAGGGTCTGGGAAATGTCCAGTTGTTGTGCCAAAAAGAAGAAATGGGGAACCAGGGTTTAGCACAGTAACAAAACACTTCCTTCCCTAGCACTCTTAAAGTACTGGGGCACCTTAGGCACCACAAAGCAAACAGTGCCACTTGGTTAGTTTTGCTGGCCATGGTTAGTTATTAGAGTTGATAGTATTATTTATCACAGTATTAAAACTGTTGTTTTCTTTATTCCTGAGAGAGTCAGAATGCCATTGTCTTCTACCACCTTTTGTGGTTTTCCCCTCTTTAAAGCCAAGACACAAAACATTTTTGGTGGCCCCCATGTATTTTCAGGTTGAATGAGAAATATTTTGGCATCTGATGACCTAGTGGTGTAGAGTATACCTTTGTCCTTTGAATCATCACTCTAGACCTCCTTGGTGCACCCCAAGACAGTCCTTGCTTGAATGATTGTTCTATGTCCTTCATGCTTGAGTCTCAGACAGCCAGTTTCTTATTTTCAGGAGCTGGCACTATGTGTATTTTCCATTATGCTGGCCATTTAGTATAAAATACTGTTTTCTCATCTGGGTAGAGGCCTGAGAAGGGTTGTAAGTTCAGAGAATTGAGCTCTTGTTAGTGAAGAGGCCGTGCCTAGAGGATGAGCAGCTATGCTGTGGTGCCTCGTTCTGCCTTCCTTAGGTTTGAGTCACACCACAGGCAGGTAGGAAAACCTGTTAAGAACTCTTGAAAAGAAATATCAAGATTCCAAGTCTACTTTGAGTGTGACTCACTTACTTTGCATGTATGAGCCCCTAGGGTTCTGTCTCTTCCACTGGGGGGGAAAAACTGAGACAGAAGGATTGCTGAACTTTGTTTGTTTTTGAGACAGAGTTGTTTTTTTGTATTGCTTTGGAGCCTGTCCTGGAACTCACTCTGTAGACCAGGCTGGTCTTGAACTTACAGAGAACCACCTGCCTCTGCCTCCTGAGCACTGGGATTAAAGGTGTGTGCTACCAACACCCGGAAGGATTGCTGAATTTAAGGCCAGCCTGGACTACATAGTGAGTTTTGGGCTAGACAGGCATATAGAGGGAGATCTATTAAAAAAAAAAAAAAGAGCTGGGTGTTAGTGGCGCAGGTCTTTAATCCCAGCACTAGGGAGGCAGAGGCGGATCTCTGTGAGTTTGAGGCCAGCCTGGTCTACAGAGCGACTTCTAGGACAGCCTTCAAAGCAATACAGAGAAACCCTGTCTTGGGGAAAAAAATAAGGAAACCAAACAAACAAGACCCCCCAAAACCTAAAAAGCACCTCCCCACTCAAAACCAAAACAATAATTCTGTATGTGAGACAGGCTGACTTAGGCTTCACTTTCCTGAAGCCTAAGAATAGGATATTCTCTCAAAGGAGCTTGGGAAAGCCAGGGGTCAAACCACTGGGTACAAGGGGCATGGCTGCCCTGAAGTCTTAGTAAGGTGTCTTCACAGAACACTGAGGTTCCTCCTATGTATTTATTTAGGTCAGGCCCTGCTGGGAATCTTTCTGTATCACACAGATTTCAGGAAAAGTCTGACTGTGGAGCAAGACAAGATGAAGGTTGAGCTACTGCCTGCCCTGACTGACAACTACATGTACCTGGTCATTGATGAGGACACCAAGGAGGCTGCCATTGTGGATCCAGTGCAACCCCAGAAGGTGTGTGGCTCTTCTTGGCTCCCTGTGCTTTGTCACATATGAGTTACAGCCACAGGGTCTTATGGCTTTGTGGAAGCTAAGTGGAAATTAGTTCATTCAAAACAAAGTTGTGCCTAGCCGCTGGTAAATGGGGCAGTGAGGAGGACAGGAGAAACCACAGGCCTCTGCGGCAAGGCTGACACACTTTTAAATCTCTGTGTCTGAACATGTGTGAATCCTGAAACCCTACTCATCTTCCATGTTTCTGCTCAGTCAGAGCTGGCTGGGTTCAGGGAGGTGATGGTTTGGATGGAACAGTTAAATTGATGGAGAGAGAAAAAAAAATCTTCTGCCTGTTGTCTGGAGTGTGGTCAGTCATCAGGGGTGGGAAGAGGGCTAGGCACCCACTATGCAGGCAGATGAACCAGGACCAGAGTGTGACTGAGCCTTTATGCTGCCCTATGCCTGCAGGTTATAGAAGCCGTGAAAAAGCACCATGTAAAGCTGACCACAGTGCTCACCACTCACCACCACTGGTAAGTGCTCAGGCTGTGAATGTACCTGTGGGACCTGTGGGTGGGACCTGCCATTTATCTGTGAAGTCACTATACAAAGAAGAGTGAGACCCTTGAGCAAGGAAGGATGTTAAGAACACGCCAAGGCTCCTGCCTTCTTCCTCTTGGGCCACTGACCTCTGGGTTCTACTAATGCAGCAACTTCCAGGTAAGGTATTTGTGACATGTGAAGAGGAACAGAGGGACAGGGCCAGTACCCTCAGGCACAAGTGTCCACTGCTGTCCCTTTAAAGCTAGGCTTCTCTGGTCACAGGAGGACCCCTGGTGGCTGCCTTCACAAATCTTAGATTCAGAAAAAGTGATGTTGACACCCATTCATGTCAGAGAAAAAAGAGAAGGTAGGGCCTGGCGGTGGTGGTGGTGGTGCACACTTTTAATCCCAGGACTGGGGAGGTAGAGAGGCAGGTGGATCTCTGTGAGTCTGAGGCCAGCCTGGTCTACAGATCGAGTTCTATGACAGGCTCCAGAGCTACCCAGAGAAATTCTGTCCCAACACCCCCCCCCAACAAAACAAGTAGATAGGCATCAGTATTTTCTTAAATAAAATCAAAAAACAACAAAATGGGGAGATGGAGCTCTGTGAGTTTAGCTCTGTGAGTCTATATAGTCTATGTAGTGAGTTGCAGGCTGTGAGACCCTGACTTTGGAGGCAGGTGGCTATGTTTCCAGAAGTGTTGATTGGCTTTTGTTGTATGGTTGGTTTTGGTGTTTTGAGATGAAATTTCACTCTGTTGTGAAGGCTGCCCTTGAATTTGGGGGCTTTAGGATAGTTTCGCCCAAAGCCTCATTCCTGACTTTTTTTTTTTTTAAGATTTATTTATTTATTTATTTATTTATTTATTATGTATATAACAATCTGCCCCACTATATGCCTGCACACCAGAAGAGGGCACCAGATCTCATTATAGATGGCTATGAGCCACCATGTGGTTACTGGGAATTGAACTCAGGACCTCTGGAAGAGGAATCAGTGCTCTTGACCACTGAGCCATCTCTCTAGCCCCATTCCTGACTTTTATTATTCTTTTTTTTTGTTTTTGAGCCAGGGTCTCTAGCTGGCCAAGAAATTGCTTTTTGGATCTTTTGGATCTTTTAGACTCTTCAAAGCTAGAGGAAATGTTTGTTAGGCTCTTAATTTTCTTTTCTAAACATCTCCGTGAAGAAAGCCAGAGCCTTTTTCTTTAATCCTGTCCTGGGTATGTTAGAGCTGGGAACTCCACTGACTCTGCTGATATAAACAAAGCTGGGGCCATGCCTCTAGGTCACTCTGTCTTTGTGGCTGGTTTAGCCAGCCAAGTCTCTGAGAGCCTGAGTGAGACTTCAGCACCTGGGACAGGGAGTTGAACTTTAGTCTTGGCCTGTGCTATACTTTATGGCTGCTCTATTTTTCGAGGCTCCTTTTCCTGGGCTCCTAGCTGCTGACATTTTCACCTTTGGGGGTCTGGTGTTGCCTACCTTGCAGACATCAAACACTTTGCACACTTTTTTTCTCTTCCACTTCAGTAACTAGTACTTCAGATGCCCCTTTCCTGAAAATGTGGGGAATTCTTTTTTTTTTCTGTCACCTTCTTGTGTTTATGTCATCATCAAGCCCAATGCTGCACCATGGGTTTGGCCTGTGGCTCACAGGACAAATATGCTGTGTTATTGGTTATTGGTAGTGATATTTTAAAAGGTAGGTGATGAGGTGATGGTACCTACCTGACCTGTGTGTGCTCCCTGTCCAGGCAGTGGAGCAGAGAGCTGGGTAACTTTCTCCCCCCAGTTTACTTAGAGCCCTGCTGTTCCAAGGATTGTTTGACTATGGAGTGAAGTAGCCAAGGGACTGATGGGACAGGTGTTTCCCATTCCTATCTTGAGCTGAGGGTGATCCACAGTGTGGGGATACTCCTATCTGTGCTGGTACCATGGCCCTGCCCTCTGTTGCTCATTTTTAAAAAGGGGGAAATGGCTCCCTGGGGAACTGTGGGAATCCCGGTTCTAGGAGGTGCCACCACTCTGGCTGTCCTGTGCTCTGTGCGCAGATCTCCCTCAGATGGGCAGTATCGTAGTTCTAGAAGTTCCCAGGATAGCCCAATAGTATTGACCCAAATTGGGATGCACGTTAGGATTTCCAAATCACACCCTACCTCGGTGCCCAAACCCTCACCTCAGAAGGTGTGGTAAGAGTGAGGCTTCTGTACAAGTGGGAACTCTCCAGGTAATTTCCTGTGGCCCAAGTTGAGGGAGCTATGCCTGGGACTCCCTGGCTGTATGTGATCTACTTTCTCTGTTCAGGGGCATGCTGGACACCTGAGAAAGTTATTTTCAGTGTTGCCAAATGGCAGGCAAAAAGTGTTTCCTGGTTGCCTGTTTCTACTGAAGAATATATAGACAAAGTAAAAATTCCATTTGGTCAGGGATTAAAGGTGAGCAAGCAGCCCCCTCCATCTCACCAGGTCACCCAGGCCTCCTGTTTGACTTCTAGGGACCATGCTGGTGGGAATGAGAAGCTGGTGAAGCTGGAACCTGGGCTGAAGGTTTATGGAGGTGATGACCGCATTGGGGCCTTGACTCACAAAGTCACACACCTTTCCACACTGCAGGTACATAGTGAGCCCTGCCAGGATGCTAGGTCCTCAGGCATCATTTGGAAAGGGGCTGATCAGGCAAAGGGCTCCCTGGGCCTGTCTCAGTATTGCTTGAACAGTCTTCTCTTTAAGATCATAATGAAGTCGGGCTGTAGTGGTGCACACCTTTAATCCCAGCACTTGGGAGGCAAAGGCAGGCAGATCTCTGAGTTCGAGGCCATCCTGGTCTCCAGAGTATGTTTCAGCACATCCAGAGCTACAGAGAGAAACCCTGTCTCAAAAAAACAAAAACAAATGAAACAAAACAAAACAAAACAAATGAGCATAGTGAGAAAACCAACATCAGAATTGTGACTGGACATGGGGAAGACCACCGAGTGGGCCCGAGTCAGCTGAGAATGAAATAGAGCCTCTGGGAGCCTTCTGACCTCTTGGATGTGACAGTGTGTGGGAATATCCACCCTTGTTAGGGACATGTATCTGTAGTATTTGGGAAAATTGGTCAGAGTGTGAGCAACTTGAGCAGAGAGAGGCTGTGCAGATGTGGAAAGAGTGTAAGCCTTGTTGACTATATCTGGGGAGTGTTTGCATTGCTGGGTCAGCTTTAGGTTTGAACACTTGAAGTGAAGAGCAGGGAGGTAATCAGAAAAGTGTCTTCTATGGGAAAATGCCTGGTTTAGATTTGGCTCAGTTCTGGAGGCAAAATAAACCTCTTTTGGTTTTATCTTTGAACAAACACATCTGAAGCATCTGCACCTGGGCTGCTGAAGCTGAGCAGAGACCCTTTGGCCTGTCCTGGGTGCTCTGTAGTTGTCTAGAATGCAGGTGGATCCTGTAGTAAGTGTGTCAGGAAGGGGAGGGTCATAGTCTGTCACTTGTGATGTTCCAAAAAGGCTACTGGTGGTCGGAGCTCATCCTACCACCTCTATTTCAGGTGGGGTCTCTCATTGTCAAATGTCTGTCAACACCATGCCATACTTCCGGACACATCTGTTACTTTGTGAGCAAGTCTGGTAGCTCAGAGCCCTCTGCAGTGTTCACAGGTGAGTATTGGAGGCCGGGGGTAGGGTGTGTGTCTATATGAAGACTCTCTTTGGCATTCACTGTGTGAGGAAGAAAGAACTCCTCTGAGAGAAGCAGGTGTTTCCTGCCAGACTTTTTTAGCAGGGGCTGCACCTCTCTAAACCTACATCTCATATAAGGAAGCCACAGCCCCCAGGATTGGAGCCTGGGATTTGTTCAAACTGGAGTGCAGAGGTGCTCTGTGAATTGAGTCTGAGCTGCTGCTGTGTACCTGGTTGCTGCATCAGGTGTTTGAGGGGGACAGCCTGCATTTGCAGTGTTCACCACCCTGCCGCCACAGCCCTCACCCTCTAGCAGCCAACAAATAGACATGGGGCGGGGGCTGGCTGAGGAAAGCCCCAGGGATTCCAAGTATCCTTCCTGCAACCTTGCAGAGAGCCTTGTGATCTGGGCTAGGCCAGCACAAGGCAATACCTCAGCCCTGGCCTGGGTGACACGCACCCAGTAACCTTGCAGAGCCAGAAGCCTGACTTCAAAGTGGGTGGTTCACACGCTGAGGCTGAGCCAGCCCCTGGGGCAGGGTGCAGTTCACACTCCGTGAAAGAAGGTTTGTCCAGAACTCAGAGGACTTTTCCCCTTGTGAAGTAAAAAACAAAATGGTGCAAGTGCTGATTGGGAGCCTGTGAAGCAGAGTACCTTGTGACAACAGTGCTCAAATGGCATGGGCTGGCGTGGGGACTGAGGTGGGAGCACAGGGCTAGTGTTCTGCAGAGGGCCTGGCTCCTGCCTCTTAGAGTTGTGATGTAGTGTTGCTGTCCATGATAGCCACTGGGGGGTGATTCAGAGCCTGGCTGGAGGATGTGCCAGCATGTGCTAATGAGGTCATAGCAGCACTTTCAGATGGGAGAAACCCTGGAGAAATACTCAGGGTGGAGACATGGATTTCTGCTGTATAGACCTGAAATTTCCCAGGAGCCCAAGCCTTTTTTAAAAAAACACATGTTACAGAATGCCAGGGTTTTTTGTCTTGTTTTCAGACAGGGTCTCTGTTGCCCAGGTTGACCTGGAAATGTGGGGAATTACAAGTGTGAATCAGCACACCTGACCTGAATTCCTTGTCTTCCTCATGGCATTGTGTGGTTCAAGCTCAGGCCTTGGGCCCTTTTTATGTTGGGCTCACCTTTACTCTCTGAGTTGAGAGCAGAGGCGTCACCTGCTCCAGCTGTAGCCTGGAACGGGACATCTCTGCTATGTGTCCTCACTGGGGTTGGTGGCTTTGGTAAGGCTTTTCTGAATGCAGCCCTGCTGTGGTGTGATGGTGATAATCACAATGTCCTCAGCTTATGACTCTCAGGGTTAACAGAGGTGTAGACACAGCTGGCCTCCCCTGTTGCGTGCCCTGCAGAAGTCCATGTCAGTGTCTGCAGGAGCAGATGGTGGTACCTGCTTTTCAGGTTACCATTGGCTGATAGTAGGGAAGCCACATCAGGACCTGCCAGCCTTGGAGGAGGGGAGAGAGATGGGGTGTTGCGTGTCATGCCCCAGGTACACCTGTGTTGGTTGATTTTTTTTGTCAACCTGACACAAATTAGACTCTTATGGGAAGAGAAAAACCTCAATTGAGAAAACGCCTTCATCGGATTGGCAAGTCTGTAGGGCATTTTCTTGATTAGCAATTATGGGAGGGCCAGTCCTCCGTGAGCAATGCTACCCCTGGGCAGGGGTGTTCTGGGTACTTTAAGACAACAAACTGAGACAGGCAGTGAGCAGTACCCTCCATGGTCTCCGCTTCATGAAGTTCCTGCCTCCCCTTCACGGAAGTAATAAGATGACTTGAGAGCAAAACCAACCTTTGCTCTCAAGGTTGGTTTTGGTTTTCATAGCTACAGAAAAGCAGACCAGGACAACACTGTCTGCTCTTCTTGGCCTAGAACTTTGCCAAATGTTCTGCCTGGGTTTTTGCATGAGTTCTGGAGATTGGGCTCAGGTCCTGATGCTTGTAAGGCAAGCGTTTACCAACTAACCAGTCTCCACAGCACTCCTATTGCCAGTGCTGTGGATGGAAGCCAAGGCCTGTGTAGGATAGGCAGATGCTGTACCTGCCTACCACTGAGCCCCAGCTGAGCCTGAGGCTGGGTCTCTCATGACTCTGCCTTGGGAGGTAGAAGGTCCTGTGTATCATGGAGGGTGCTGCAGGATGTCAGCCCTGTGGTGTCCTGCACTTTCTGTGACTGATGGTGGGCAGCACCTGGCATGTGGTGTGAGGTGTCTTCAGGTCATTTTATAACTGCGTGGTACGCATGCTCTGCACCAAGGTAAAGGTGCCTGGCAGCAGCAGTGAGGGCCAGTGATGAAAAGTGCACTGTTGAGTAGCTCAGGAGAGGATGCATTTACATCTCTATGTACAGCGAGAGAAGGGTGTGGTGGGCGGGCCAGGCATCTTGTACAGCTGTAGTATGGGATAGGGTCTGTTTAGGCTGAGATAGGCGGCTTGCCACAGAGATAACAGGTGGCAGTGCGGGGCAGGAAGTGTTTATGAGGGGTGAGCTTAGGACTTCAGTTTTGGGATCCCTGTGGATACCCAGGAGCAGAGACAGGTACCCTGGGAAGGGGCAGTCAAGATGTAAATGGCACCATGAGGGCCCACTAATGTGGCCTAGCCACAGTGGAAAATCCAGGGTGTGTAGGGAACAGAAGCCAGGTGGTCTTACTGATGCTGGGGTGAGGCCAAAAGCAATGCTAGTCTGGGGATCAGGGAGGGGCTTCCTCAGGTATTCCCATCAACAAAGGGAAAGAGTGTCAGAGACATGGATGCCAGGAGAAAGGGGACATCCAAGGATCTAGGCGAGGACACAGGAGGGCTGCTGAGAAGGGGGAAATGGACTAGGTTTGTGATGATTTCAGCTATGGTGGGTATCTATACTGGGGTAGATAGTGGGTCTGGGGGCCTTGGGTTTCAGGCCCACAAATATTACTATTAATGGCTATGGTTGAAATTGGAGGCTGGCAGAATGGAGAGCTGTGGATGGCCTTGTGCCGTGTTGGGTGAAGATGTCTAATGATTGTTCTGGTGGTGGGTGGTTTTGGGTTGTGTTCTGGTGCTTGTTTGTAAGTTTGGGGCTTAGTACCAGGTGCAGGAGGCCAGGGTATGAGCTAGCCCTGAAGGACCATCATTGTGTTTTTCAGGTGACACGTTGTTTGTTGCTGGCTGTGGGAAGTTCTATGAAGGGACTGCAGACGAGATGTACAAGGCACTGCTCGAAGTCTTGGGCCGGCTTCCTCCAGACACAGTAGGCAGTGCTTCCCTTCCCCAAAGGCCCCACGTGCTCCAGGAAACAGATGTGTTGTAGGCTAGACCCACCATTCAGGCCTAGGAAGCTGTCTCTGCTTTCACAACTGGTCTATGTGTGGTAGACCCCTTGCTGGCCTCACTTCTGAGCTGAGGGGAGAAGTAGGCAAAGCCATCACCTCACAGTTTTTATTAGTACTTAATCCATGTGTGGCCCTCTAGTTGCACACACTGTATGGGGTGTCACACCAGGCTGAGACATGACATGGTTCTGAACCCTCAGGGTTCACAAGGGTGGATTAATCAGTCAGAGCTCATGTGTTGGCTCTTTCTTCAGAAAGTCTACTGTGGCCATGAGTACACCATAAACAACCTTAAGTTTGCACGACATGTGGAACCCAACAATGCTGCCATTCAGGAGAAACTGGCCTGGGCCAAGGTGAGTGGAACCCAATCGTGGAGCATGTCCTAGGGGCCCATCATGGTGCAGTGACTTTCTACAGGGCCGGATGCAGACACAGCACTATCTGCTGAGCAGGTGGAAGTGGGGTGTCACCAGCTCATTGCTGGTCACGGCAGTAAAGTCCATCTGACTGGAGGGTCCAGTGTAAGTTGTGGACACGACATTTTAGCATAATAGAGACTCAGGCTACAGGGCCAGCCTTGTTCCCCACATACTAAGCTGTGAGTCAGTTGGACCTTCTGTGAGGAACCTGCTTCTGCTGCCACCCAGTCAGTAGGGATATCACCTGACAGGGTTTGTCTCCACAATGGCGCCGGTGAGCTACTACAGCACAGCCCGAGGCAGTGGGCTGAGGGCTTTGTTAGACACCAGGGCTGTGCTTCTTGAACTCACTGTAGATGCTGTCAGTAACAGCTGCACATGCCCGGAGAGCCAGTGAGGTTCCCTTCTGCAAGTTTAGGAGGTTGTACTGTTTAAGATAAATACCTGTCCAGCACCCTGTCCAAATCAGGGAGGGGTTTACAAAGTAATATTAGAAAATTCAGCAGACCTGTAATCCCGGCACTCAGGAGGGAGGCAGGAGAATTACAAGTCTGAGGCCAGATTAGGCCACATAAACATTCTGAGTACTGTGCCAGTCAGGACTATATAGCAAGACCCTGTCTCAAAAACAATCAAAACCAAAAAATTCATATCTTAATACTTGGGAAGCTAAGTGAGGCCAAAGAGTTAGGAGTTCAAGGCCCATCTCAGCTACATTGTGTGTTCTTAGCTAGCCTGGGCTATATGAGACTATCTCAAAACAACAAAAAATTCAAATGCTGAGTCAGGTGTGGTGGCACATACCTAATCCTACTTAAGAGGCTGAAGTACAAGTGTTGCAAGTTCAAGACATGCCTGAGCAGCGTATCAAAACCACCTCAAAAATTTTTTCAGCCCCCCCTTATATTTATGCCTGATTATTTAATATTCCCATAAAGATCACACTTCATGCACACAGTCCATACCGTAATACCATTCTGCAACTTAGTTTCCTTATTTCCTCTGGGGATCAAACCCAGAGCCTCACAATGCCAGACAAACTGAACTTTAAGGGTAATTTACATGTATGAGATGTCTTGAGTAAGACTGTAGTTAGATGAACTTTGACAGTGCACATCCACATATTCAATATTCAAGCTAGAGAACCATATTCAAGCTAGAGAACACTGCTGCTCTTCTCTGCAGGGCACTCTTTTTTAAAGGTTTATTTTGATTTTCTGTATGAGTGTTTTACCTACATGTGCTTGTGTGCATCACATGCCTGCCCCATGTCCATGGAGGCCAGAGGAGGTCATGGAACCCTGGAACTGGAATGACAGTTCCCATGTGGGTGCTGGGAACTGAACCTAGGAACTAGTGCAAGAGCAGCAACTGCTGAGCCTTCTCTTCAGCGCCACTCCCCCAAGGCCCTCCTGATCCTTTAGCACCTTGCCATTGGCGGTTGTCCTGTTTTCTGACACTATCAATTGCCCTTATCTAGAGGCTTCTATGACAGAACCATACGATCTTCCTCAGTTCTCCTCTGCTTTTGCTCAGCCTCATTTTGAGGCCCAGCCCTGCTGGTTCCGTTTGTGAGTATGTCCTGTATTCTGTGCATGGCTCGCTACAGGAGCTCATCGATAGCTATGGGTGAGCCCCAGGGGATGGTGCTGTGAATGCTTGTGCACATCTTGTTCATGCCCTTGGCTTTATGTTTAAAAGTGGAATTGCTGGATTGTATAGCCAAATGTATGTTTAACTTTTTTTTTTTTTTTTTTTTTTTTTTTTTTTTTTTTTTAAGGACGGGGTTTCTCTGTGTGGTTTGGGCGCCTATCCTGGACCCCTCTCTGTAGACCAGGCTGGCCTCGAACTCACAGAGATTCGCCTGCCTATGCTTTCTAAGTGCTGGGATTAAAGGCATGCGCCACTACCACCCGGCTATATTTAACTCTTAAACTGATTTCCAAAATTTGATCCTGCTGTTTTGTTTTATTTTCCCCTCTCAACCCCTGTAGTTCCTGATGCTTTCTTTGCATGCTAACCAACCGTCAGTGCTTCTGGTCTCTCATAACCCTTGGCTTTGTGTCCTGGTGGTGAGGGAAGGTTCATGTGGGCGTCTGCAGCTGCTCTTACAGCACTGTCCCTGCTCTGTCCCTGAGGCCTCCTTGTTAGCCATCAAGAGCTGCATGGAGACCCCTTAGCTTATAAACTCACCTTCCACTCAGCTGTGTTAACATTGTCTGCCGTGGTCTGTGGTACTCAGGAGTAAGGCAATCCACGCAAGGTGGTGGCCAGTGCCCTCAAGCACTCTACTGCTTGCCCATTCTCTAGGCGCTTTGTGGGAGCTCCTGGCAGGGGGGTGAGCCTTCCACATCCTGTGCTGAGAGCCCAAATCACTCACTGCTCCTCATGTTAGTTTTCTTGTTGGGAGGGCCTTGCTGTCTTTGTGCTGTGCTTCTGTTGTGTGAAACATAAAGCTCACAGTAGTGAAGACAGAACTTGCCCTTCCCTTCAGAGACAGCATAGGCAGGAGTGACTTACTGGTGGCAGGAATTTACTCTCAGGGATACAGTTGGAGATGACTGCTAGTCCCTCCCATGAGCTCAGCCTGTCACAGAAGCCAGACACCCACCTGTCTGCACTGACTGCTTTCTTGCTCTGCCTTCTAGGATAGTCTTGAGTTTAAAGCTCACTAAGACATTTGAAAGGTAGGACCCATTTGGTCCCTATGTGACAGTGGCATCTTTTATAGGAGAAGTATGCTGTTGGGGAGCCCACGGTGCCATCCACCCTGGCAGAGGAGTTCACCTATAACCCCTTCATGAGAGTGAAGTAAGATGGTTGTGGCGGGGCTCTCTCTTGGCCTTACCTCCCTTGGTAGCTCAGGCTTTATGATCTTGTCTAAGTTCACCCCAGCAAAGAGATGAGCCAGGGCTAACCCATCCTGAAGTGGATGGGCCTGACCCTCATACCCCAACTTTATTAAGTGTACCCAAGAGGCAGGCTTTGTCCCATAAATGTGAGGATATGCTTTTCTTGGCATCTTGGCAAGGATGTGGGGGACCCATGACCCATACGGAGGGGGGCTTTGGAGAACTTCTTTAAGGACCCTTGAAGCTCTGGGACTCTAGGCTGGGTGGGCAGCATGGAGTTGGTGGCTTCCGTTTGCATATTGCTGGTAGGACCTGTTTGGCTTAGCCCTAGCTGTTTTTCTGCATGAGGATGTCCTAGGCTCTGCTTACAGCTTGTTCTTCTATCTTGCCTACAGGGAGAAGACTGTGCAGCAGCATGCTGGGGAGACGGACCCTGTGACCACCATGAGGGCCATCCGCAGGGAGAAGGACCAGTTCAAGGTGCCACGGGACTGAGGCACATGGGGATGGGAACTTTTAAGTGACTGTCTGGTTGCTCATGCAGGATCTAGTCTGCTTTTATTTTAAGTTAATCCAGAGCCCTTAGCTTATGTTATCAAATGTTCTAATGCATATTTATAAGAGAAAAAGGTTAAAAGTATTTATTCCCATAACCCTGTTTATGGACTCTGCATTATCTCTGGCTATAGATGTATATAGCCTCAGTGCCTGTGGTCACATGATGTCCAGTGTTCAGCTAGCTTCTTAGAGTGGTGCTGGCTCTGGGAAGGCCTGATCTGGGCTTCCCACCTTGGCTTTCTGGCTCTTTAGGGAGAAGGATGGCTGGCACCCTCCTTGGCTTTTCCTCCCTCTTCCACTAACCTCTGTGGCCCGTCCAAGCCCCAGACTCTGGGTCCTCAGGTCATATTGCAGGTAATAGTTTAGGTCTGAGTGGGTAGGATGGAGTCAGCAGACATGGATGCCCAGTGACACCGAGGACCCTGATAGTTGGAGGAAGAATTTGAGACTGGGGTGCCTGGTCTAAACCCCCAGGGGACGGTTGACCCTGACAGAGTGGAACGTTGCTTTGATCTGTGCTGGGTGCGGTCAGCATCCCTCAAGCCTGCTGCAGCATGTGCACCCTGTTCTGCTGTCTGCATTGCTGGCCTAGCCCCCAGGCTGTAGCTTCACAATACCCTTGTTTCCTTGCAGTTGCCTCAAACTTTAGCCTGCTGTGGGGTCAGGATACAGGTGGTCTAAACTGCATTACTGCCACACAGTTCCTCTTTAGAAATGACGTAGGTGGAGCCATTACTCCTGCCTATGCTTTCATCTCCAGAGGTGACATGGACTGGAACTTGCATGTGTGGTGCATGCGATAAGTGTCAAATCATGTGTGCTTGGCCAATCCTGCCATAGCTCTAATAGGCACTGTGGTTTCTACCAGCCTCCAAATAAATGCGGTATCCCTCTGTGAGCCTCAGTGTGCGGAGATCTCAAGGCCCAAATGTCTTCTCCAGAATGTGTGCGGCCATGCGGCTGCTCTCCTGTGCAGTGTATTTAAATGTTCTGCACCACCTAGCACCATGTGGCCATCCAGGGGACTTTTGGCATGCCCCCTCTGAACCGTCAAGTCCTAAATAAGATGGTTTGCATGTCCAGCAAGCCAATGTGTCCCCGCCCACCCCAGCCATGCACTATGGTGACCTAGGCACCTGAACTGAGGGTTAACAGACACTGAGATCTTAGCAGGTAATAGACACAAGCCTTGCTGTGCAGGGACAAGGAAGAGTGTGATAGAGCAGGCAGTGGGGACAGTCCTTTAGAAAGACAGGAAACCTGCAGCATGGCCTCACTATGACCTTACCAGGTCTGCTGGCCAGGGGAGGCTCCCCAAGAAGTAATATTTGTGAAAAAGTGTGGGGAAGGGACATGTGGGAAGGAGGTAGAAGAGGTTAGGGTGAGAGTAACAAGAGTGCATATTTATCTGGCTGGCAGTGGTGCCTGGTTCTCAGGGCTAAGCAGAAACCCTGTCTTAAGCTGAGCAGTGGTGGCACTCAGGAGGTAGAGCCAGATGTTTTGAGGCCAGCCTGGTCTATTTAAAGAGACTCCATCTCAAAACAAAAGAAAATTCTTTTAAATTGAGGTGAAAGTCACACAAGTAGCCATTGAAGAAGGGCCCTGGCTTCATTCCCACCACAGTTGGTACTCGGTGTTCTGTGTCCCTACTCCTCACGATCTGAACTTCTAATTGTTGTCTGTCCAGAAGGGAGAGGCAGGCCTCTCCTGGCCTGTCTACCACTGTGGATATGTGTCTTCAGGGTTAACAAAGGCCAGGGCAAATATAAAGAATTGGGCTGGGCGGTGGTGACACACACCTTTAGTTCCAGCACTAGAGAGGCAGATCTCTGTGAGTGCGAGGCCAGCCTGGTCTACAGAACGAGTTCCAGGACAGCCTCCAAAGCCATACAGAAACCTTGTCTCGAAAAACAAAAAGAATAAAGAATTGTAAGGAATTGGATGGGGGCGGCAGCAGGCTGGGGTTGGGGTGCATCACTAGCACCTGACCTAGAGCTCAGAAATGGCTGTTCTTTGAGTATGAGCGTCAGAGACGGGGAGCACCTCTTGTCTGATCTATAGTCCACCTGCCAGCCGCTGACACTGGCTGTGCCTGGGGGAAACCCGTCTTTCCTCTTTTGCTCCTCAACAGTGGAGCTCACAGAGCCCAGCTGCTGTCAGTAAACCCTCACTGCTTAAGCTCTGCAGCCCTGTCATTTGTCACCCAGTCATTGATTTCCTGAAGTCCCCAAAGGACTGCAGTGAATGGGTAAAAAACAGGCCCCAGTTCCCAAAGACTTTGACTCCCCCACAGTACCTGGAGATGTTGGTGTTATTCAACGGAACCTGAACGACCACTTTTCTTAGGTGTCCACTAACATTCTCTGGGGCAGATGATGCCAGCTCACAAAGGCTAAAGCATATAGTGTGTTCTCTAACCAAGTACAATGAGATTGTCCCAGTAAACATTTCTACATACTAAATGAGTCAAGAAATGAAACTGGTACATATACTAAAGTGACAAATACAGTGCAGGGGGGAATGTCTGTCTGTCAGTATGTCTGTATGTATTTGTGTGCTCTATTCCTTAGTCCTAACAAGTTTATAGCTTTAAACACCTGTTTGAGAAAATAAATTGTCTCAAAAATGCAGGGTTTTACCTTAAATAAGAAAACAAATGCAACCCAAAGGATCAGAGAAAAAGCTGGAGACAGCACTTACTGAGCACTTGCAGTGTCCCTGTCCATCCCGAGTGAGCCAGACATTCAAAGTCAACATGATGGCTCCCGCCTGTAATCCCATCATTTAAAAGGCTGCAGCAGTAGCATTGCTTGGGTTTGAGGCCAGCTTGGGGTACGAGCAAATTGAAGGACGGACTGAGCTACAGAGTGAGACCTGTTCAAAAGTAAGGATAAAAATGATAAAAATCGTGAAGGAGGAAATTACTCTTGCTCCTATGGAAGTTACCAGGGTTTATGAAGGGGAACCAGGAGAAAACTAAAATGAAATGGACAGATGCCTAGACAGACGAGAGCCACCTCAACTGGCAGAAGAATAATTAACTGGGGTGGTAAGTGCCTGCCAACTACTTGAGAGGCTGCAAATTGAGGCCATCTTGGGCAACATAGCCAGACATATGTGTATATGTGGGGTTTTGTTTATTTCAGTGACAATGGATCGCTCTTTTGCTGAGACTGGTGTCAAATTCATGATCCTCTTGCATCAGTCTGAGAGGGAGAGTCCCCTGGAGGTGGCTTGTGAACACCTTATACCAAATTGACATCTCACAGAAAGCAGAGGCCACATGGCCTTGATGGTGTGTTCTGACACAGAGGATGCTCCCAGCCCAGTTCCCAGGCTAATGTTTCTCTGATACCAAAGTAGATATCACACATATAAAACAAAAATTCTTACTATTGCCAACCTAAGTTCAAGTTCAGCAACACTATATGCCATAACCATGTGGTTGACCACAGGAAATGTAAGGACAACCATTAGCCATGTGAATAGAGAACAAGACCTATGGGACCATCTCATAAGGGTGCTTGGCAAAGCCCAACACTAATTCACAAAATCTCTCTCTCCACAAACACTGTCTGGAGCTTTCTTGGCCTGAAAAAATACCGGTGTGTGCTTTAACTTGTTGCTATGAGAGATCTACAGACCTGGTGATATCAAACCACAGTTTGGAGATTGGAAGCTGACATGACTCACCAGGTGTCATCAAGGCTGTACTCTTGAAGGCTCTAGAAATGTGTCCTTGATCTGTCTAGCTTCTTAGAAGCTGCCTGTGTCCCCAGGTCACAGCCCTTCACTCCCTGCAAAGCTGGAGACAGTGGCTGAGTCCTGCATGGGCCTCCCACGTCACCTTCCAGATCCAGGATCCTGTGTTTACTTGGGCCTCACTTGGGATCTCAGTAAGGTCAATTCTCTCTGTTACATAATGGTCACAGATTCCAGGGATCAGGACACGGGCATCTCTGGGAAACATTGCACTGCATCTTAGAAGTTTGTGAGAATCATACAGCCAGATCACAGTTAATGGCACATGACTTAATTCTTCTTATATAGGGGCAGGCCACTCCACAGGGCACTGCACTAAATCATAAAAGGCATGCCAGAATTTTATAGATAACAACTTGGAGAAGGTAAATTAATGACACAGCCCTACACAGCAAATCCCAAGGGATACTGCTTCACACTGGGCAAAGTCCTTGGGCTGTAAGGTAAGAACAGATTCTTTGTATCTCTACTTAGTAGTAAGCCAAAAGTAAAATAAAAATGGTTCCATTCTTAGCATCAAAACTAATAAAAACCATTTTATTGAAATGTAAGGTTTACATGTGGAAAATGGCAAAATGCTTGTAAGAGAAATAAAGGGGCTACCCCAGTGGGCAGATGGCCATGCACACCAACCAGACAAATGTTACTGAGATACTGGCTCTCCACAAACCGATCTTTGGATTAAAAGGTACAACCCAGCAAGATTCTAGCATGTGTTTGAGAAAGTAACAAGCAGATTTTAAAATTACACAGTGATTCAAAGAAGCTAAATGAGCCAGAACAACTTTGAAAAGAACAAGGTTTGGGGGCCTCAGACTACCTGAAGTAGAGAGCTGCTGCAGTGACTGGAGCAAGGACAAGGTCGGCCCGAGGCTGTGGAGCAGAATCCAGAATGAACCATCATGCTGTGTCCAGGAGCAGCCTTCTCAACAGGCAGGCTGGGCAGCTCGGACCTGTGCAGGGGAAACATCAGTGAACTCATAAAACATGCATAAATTAACTGAGAACCAAGGAGCAGCAGAGAACCAAGGAGCTTTAGACTCTAACATTAGAGGAAGGAGTGTAGAAAATACAGGGTTACACATTAGGCAGGGCTCTTAGATGTGACACACAAGTCTTGAGTCAGAAGAGAAACAAACTGATCATTTAAATCAAATTTGCAATAAAAAGACATTCTAAAAAATAGACAAGTTACAGACAGGGAAAATTTACAACTCTTACATCTGATAATATGTGACATCTAGTCTCAAGTTCATAATGAAGTCTTAGAAAACAATGTAACCCAGAGGCTGGAGAGGTGGCGCTGTAAAGAGCACTGGCTGGCTGCTGTTCAGTTCCCATCACCCACATGGTGCCTCACAACTGTCTCTGCCTCCAGGTGCAGGGGATCCATTGCCCTCTTTTGGCCTCTTCTGGCACCAGGTTTGCATGTACATGAAGGCAAACACTCATAAAAATATTTTTATAACAAAAAGGGCAAAGAAAAAGGGCAAGGAGACTACCTTTTCATAAGTGATGAAAGAAGGACCAATAACACAGGAAGGGAGATGCCCCAACCAGCAAAGTGCCTGCTCCGAGAAATACGGATCTGGGTCTTCATGAAGACCCCTCACCCACATAAAGCCAGCTGTGGCAGCACATGTCTGTAACACTAATACCGTAACCCGGTGGCGGAGATGCACCCATCTCTCGGGCTTTCTGGCCAGGCTCAGTTTGAGTCCTTGCCTCAAAAAATGTCAGAAAAGTGACTGAGAAAGACACTTGACATTGGCCTCAACCAAACATGACTGGAGTTAAAAAATGTCAATGTAATGATGCCTGATGATATTCTGCTATACACATAGATTGGTGCCTAGGCCTGAAACAGAGGCCAAAAATACTTGAAAAAAGACAGCATCATCAACAAACAGGGATGGTCAATGTGGATAGTTACATGAAACTTAATTCTTACCTCTTATGCTTACAAAACTCAACTCTCAATGGACTAAGGACCTCAACACAAGACCAATTCCCTGAATCAGGGAATATACTTCCAGACAGGAAAGGGTTTTTCCAACAGGCCCCTGGTAGCACAGGCATAAACATCAACAACAGACAAATGGGACCACTTGAAACTAAGAAGTTTCTGTACAGAAA